GACTGTGGAAACACCAGGGACAATGATGGACATAGGTTAGCCTATATATGCCTGAAAAGTCTGATATGTTGTATTTTATAAATATATTCAAATGTTGGCAAAATTCAGATTTCATTGCAAATTGGTAGTTTAAAAAGTTTTTGTACCTTAATTTGTATTATCAGAAGTGGATTATATATTCTCATACAGGCAGTTTTTATGTTTTTTACATATACACATATATACATACACCTTATTGTAAACATACAATCCTTATATGCCATTATTATTAAGTTAGTAATAAAAAGGTGATCATAGGCCAATTCATAGATGTATGAGTTCCCTCACTCTTTGCAGAACTTCATAAGATGGTATTGGTATTTTCTTATTTTTTCTCCACTAGTAGAAAAGTGGATAAAAGGCTGAACCTGAAGTTCAAAGACGTTTGAAAACAACCTTATCCTGCAGCATGATGGCAAATAAAAGGGTAGCTGAAGTATGACTTCTATTTGGTGTTCATTTTAAGATAAAACATCTAGTGTAAACTGAAGAAGTTAGTTATATCTTCGGTTCATCTTAAAAATAGGCCAATTCACACTTATATTACAAATATGAATTCCCTGAGTGTTTTCAGAACTTAATATGAAAAATTACTCTTTTAAAATGCATTTCTCTACAAATAGAAATGTGGAGAAACGGTTGATGAAAAGTTCAAACAAGTTTGAAAACAATCTTAACCTTAAAGGCAAATAAAAAGATGATATTTTAGTTTGTGTAGATTATAAAACAAATATATATATGTGAAGCAAATAAAAAGGTGGCTAAAGTTGAACTTGTAGTTGGGGGTGATTTAAAACAAACAGCTAATGTAAAGAAAAAGTTGTAATTTAAGTTGTATAAGCCAATTCATGGTTATGTCACACAATGTGTATGAGTTCCCTAACTTCTTGCAAAACTCCATATGAAAAGGTGCTCTCTCTTTTTGTCCATGTACTCTTCTACAGACACACACACACACATACACAAAACTGTGTAAAAAACATTGATTGGAAGTTAAAACTAGAAGTTATACTACATATAAAAAGGTAATAAAAGGTCATTGGTGTTGATTGTAAGAGAAAAGAACAATGTAAACTAAAGAAGTTGATTCCTAACTTTCTGCCAAATGTAGCACCCTTTTAGTCTATCTGCTCTTCTTCACAAACAAAAAAGATTGATCTTAACTTACACGTTTGAAGACAATCTTACCCTGTAGAACAAAGACTTATAAAAGGGTATAACTTCTAGTTAATGCTGATGATAAAACAAACAACTAATGTAAATAAAATGAGTTATAGTTTCAGTAAAGTTTTGTCTTCAAACACCCTGTCCTCATACATCTAACTTCAGTTTCACACTACAAAGATTTTCCCATATTAAATTGTTCACATTGAGTTGAATTGAAGTGTCTTCACTAATCTCTGTTTTGCTATTTCAGTTGTTTCCTTTGACTAACAGGCTCACCCAGAGCCACCCATATCCAAATGATTCCTTGTCATTAGCTTGCACACATGTCAGTGAGCTGCACTATGGTGATTTCCACTGACTTGTCCTAATCAGAAAGGTCCTGTCAGGATATGAGTGAGTGGATAACATCTGACACTGGTATCCAACCCTGTGACCCAAACAGTAATTCTATGGCCACTGCGGAGGCCTCCTCTACAAGCATCTTCAAAAACAGGCTTTTTTTTTTTTTTACGCGGGGGCTGGGATGGATGGATTGGGGGTAGGGGTAAAGCTTGTGAATTCCGGAGGGTGGGCTCTTTAGCCCTGCTGGGTGGAGATGGGCTTGTTGTTGTTTCATTCCTCCAACGTGTTTTTCCTCTTTTCCTCGTACCCGGGAATAACCCCTTGAGAGACGTCCCACCAGAGGACATGTGAGATAAGATGGGAGTTTCTCAATGAACGTACTATTTTTCAGGCTTGTTGTTATTGATCTACTGTGTGGCCTCCAGTAACCGCAGCCTATGGTTAGACCTGTTCTTCTCTCTAGAGTGTTTCTCTCATGCTGGTGCACATTAAGTAGAACTGGAATATGAAGTTAAAACATGAGCAAACTTAATTTTTTTTGTAAAATGTCATCTTCCCGAAATCGATTTTACACATTTTTTGTGATTTTTTTTGCTTGTTTTTTTGGAATGACATACATTTTAATGATGTACATTCATGGCATTTATTAAAGTAATTAGCTTCAATAAAATAATAAGACTCTAAATGACACAAGTTACATATATGAATATAAAAGATAACTTTATGAAGCTTTACTTAAGTTTTAATATTGGCAGTTTTTTGTGCTTTATTAGGGCTAATGTAAAAGTTTTACTTAAAGTAGTACTAGTATTAGTTTGCCCTCAAAGCAAGAAATTGTCCTCACAAGTTCTCATTTTCTGTAGCTTTATTCCTTTGTAACGCAGAAGAGAAACAAGCACAATAGGTGTGGCTGATGCCTTCCTCAGTGTGCAGGCTCCAAACCTATCCACCATTTAATTATCATTTTCAGCACATCACTTTTTAAGCATGTTGGAAAATCTTCTGCAAAGTATCTCCGCTGTCCTTAGATTGATTCCCTACTGACAACTGCAGAGGACTGCACACATCAGTTTTCAGGTTTGTTTTTCAGGGTTTTCCAGTCACATTCCAAAGCTGTGAGTTCAGCTCTCCTCTGGTGCCCACTATGATGCTGGGAGGTAACTGGTCGTATGTTAGGAACATGAGCTCAAAAACAACATGTGCATGCATGGAAAAGCATAGAAAGTGACCATTACATTTTATTCTGTTTATAAGTTATTTTGGTCTCAGGTAAAGAGAGTTCAGGTCTCTCAGAGTGGTTGGTTGTTATTTCTGTAACAAAGACACAAGTTTATTCAGCTGAAATATAAACGAGACTTCAAAAACCAGGATTATTCATTGGTTTGGAGTTAGGTGTTAGTCTGGGGTAAAATATGACAGAGATATAGATAAAAGGGTTCCGTGTCTCTATGTTACATCGGTATTATGTGTTTACTTTGTATCCAATACAGGAAATTGTCTTTTAAATAATTTAGTTTTAGTAACTTTGGTATAATACATGTCTAATGACATATACATACAGACTTCTATTAAAATCTGAGCTGTTTTTTAAGAAGGCAAAGCTTTCTTGTGGCAGCTTTTGTATGTCGAGCTTTGAACAGAAGCTCTTTGTTTGCAATGTAACGTTTTATGTAAGAAGTTTAACAATGTTTCGCCACTGCTATGACCATGAGGGCTGGGCACAAACTAACTAACAAGTTAAAATGCATATTTTAAAAAAATCCATTCACATGTTGGTTCCAGCTTTACAAAGCTACAAAATACAAGACCCTGTTGCATGTCCATGCATGTACACATGATAATGAGGAAATCTACAAACTTGTAGGTCAACCCATGTATGTGATGTGCCTCATTTAACTTTATCATTTGCTTTTGCACTTTCTTTCTTTCTTTCTTTCTTGCCTTGTTTGTTTTCCATGTTTACTTTTTCTCCCCTGCTGCCATGACGACACCAATTACCCCCAAAGGAATCATTAAAATTTAATTGAATCCCATCTAATCTAATCTCACAGTATAATAGCCTTATGTAGCTTCGCCAACCCGTTATGATGCACTTTTATCGCTGTTTATCAATGTAAACATAAGCGTTTGTTTTGTTGGCACACACGGGCTGTAATCGCACAACGGTGGCGAACGCTGCCGGCGGTTGCGAGTCCGATTCCCCCTCTTCCCCGGACTCACAGGGCAGAAATTAGTAGCAAGAAAGCATGTAATTGACAAAGTCACGTGTTCTCACTACGGGAACGGGCACAGCCAGCTCGAGAGCGAATGAGAGCGAAGGAGAGAGAGAGAGAGAGAGAGAGAGAGAGAGGGAGACAGACAGAGGGAGGCAGAGAGAGAGAGCAGTACAGAGGTGGTGTGAGTGAGGAAGGGATTGAAGGGAAGAAAGAGAGACATGACAAAAATATCAAAAGGCAGAAAGCACGCCGTACCATGCGAGCTAAATTGGTGACCGATGGGATCGAGGATGTCGGATTAATGGTGACGACCGCAGCCCGTTTTCGCAGAGGAAGCTTCTCTATCGCAACTTGGGCTCAGAGGGTCCGCGGGGAAACATGGCCGAAGGTTATTCTGCAATTATTTCTTCTATTTTCTGTGCTCTTAGTTTTTTTTCTTCTTCTTCTTCTTTTTTTTCTCTCCTCCCTATCTGCTCGCGCGAGGGAAAGGAAGGAAGGAGGGAGGGAGAGAGAGAGAGGGAGGGAAGGAGGGAAGGAGGAGGGGGGGCAAGGTGCAACGTGATTGTTGTTCCAAACCAAAAAAAAAAGAGAGAGAGAGAGAGAGAGAGAGAGAAAAGAGACAGAGAAGGACCTGAACCGCCCCTGCCGAGCACCGTATCCGAACCGTGCTCCGCCGTATTGAGATATGTGCATTGTTAGCGCGTGCTGTGTGCTTGTTCTGCCCACTAGTAAAAGCTCGAGGAAAACCATGTGTACACCTGCCTTTTGGATCCTGTAGCCTACAACTCCACAGCGGGCTGTAGATGCACGATACCCCCCCTACCTCTACCCCACCCACAAAAAAAAAATAACAAAACAAACAAACAAAATCCTCCACAAGTTGCCCTGTGCGAGAACCCGGAGGGAATCATCTGTCACGGAGTAACAAACAACTTTTTTTTTTTTTTTTTTGAAGGGAACGTTTTGCGGCAACCACGCGCCCCTGCTCGCGTATGTGCTGTAGAAAATAGCAGTATAGGAAATTTCTACCGGCCCTGAACTTCACATAGCCCGTGTTTGCGAGTGGAGGGGATTCCCCCCACGCTTCTTGAAGAAGTTTTTTTTTTTAACTCAACAGAGCCGTTAAACTTATATAAACCGGTATGCTCGCAGTGTGAAGTGGCCACCCTGTGCTGTGTCTCTGAGCCTAAAATGTTCTAACTTGCTTCTTGTGTGCTTTCACCCCCCGACATACACACTACCCACTACCCCCTTCCACACCACCATCCCCTTGTTTCAGGAGGGCCGGGTAAAGGTGGCGGAGAAGACCCCGCCAAGTCCACCGAGCAGGAGGACCGGACTCGACCTCAGATCCTGTCGGGATCCGGCTTCTGCAAATGGTTCAACGTCCGGATGGGCTTCGGATTTATCTCAATGACCAGCAGCGAAGGGAGCCCCGTCGACCCCCCTCTGGATGTTTTCGTCCACCAAGTAAGTTGACGCCGAAAAAGAAAAAAAAAGAAAAACCCCACGCAAACACACGCCGAGGAATTAAAACATCTGCTTTGTAGAGATGCGGTGCACATGGAGCCTCGTCCGGATTTTGCTTTTTTTTCCTCTCTCTCAAAACGTGGAAGAGCTACGAATGATTGATTCGTTTTATTTCCTTTTCCAACAATTTCACTGTCAACTTCAAATCCCACCCTGAAACCCGCAGGCCCCCTTTATATCTCCTCAGAGCACCAGTTACATTGTATCATCCGGATGTTTTGCATTACCACGTTACTGTGTAATCACACGTTGTCCACGGGCTTGAAACACACACACACATAAAAAAACACGTTAAGTTTCCTCTTTGAGCCACATGCTCCCCTCCTGCACTGTAAAGGGGAGAAATGTCGTGTGGCTGTGACACGGTTACTTTCACACTTGGCCCCGAATGGACAACAGAACCTCGCATGATATTCAGCCAGACAACATGTCGGAAAAGCATGTTTAAAAATATATAGAAGTGTGCATACTGACGTGTGTGTTTTAGGGGGGGCGTTTGGCTGCGTTTTCTTGCTCCTTGCTGCTGTTTTGTTGACGTAACATCCAGTTTATTTTAACACAACATCCCCACATCCACGTTGAACACTTGTGGATGTGTGGAGCTTGGCCTGCTTTCCAAACGCAATGCACTGTTTGATTTATTGTGCAGTTCATTTCTGAACTGAGGCCCTTGTTTTTTCCACTTTATTCTGCAGCAAACAAAAGAGCATGGAGTCCTCCCTTGTTTCAGATCCCCCTCTCCCTCCGTTTAATCGCCCCTTTTTTACGGTCCTATAAAGTGAAGTAAAATACTCTGAGAGGGACGACAGAGGATGAGGAGAGGCGTTTCACCGTTTCATTTGACACCCTCCTCTGGAGGTGTCTTTATTGTGGGCTCAGGGGATGTTGTGCTGAACTGATGGGGNNGGGGGGGGGGGCATATTAGGGGTCAGATGTCAGCAGTGATGTAGTGGTGAATAAAAGAAAGAAGAGTCCTGTGATCATGATCAGGCAAGCTAGGAGTGTTGAGATATATAAATGATGGTTTCCGCTCATTCTTGTGGAACTTCAATAACTTTGGTGGTATGATTTTTTTTTTTTTTAAGTTGCATTCCAGTCTAAAAATAGAAAGTGGGACCTCTGAGTTTGGTATGGTTGGCTGGGGGGAAAAAGGTAGATTTTTCCACCTATTTGTTGTACCAATGTACCAATGGGATAGTTTGCAGTGATAAAATGAGGTCACATTTCTCTGTGATTTTTGTTTCATTCACCTCCTTTTATTTAGTTGCTTATATTTAAGTTGTGCTTGACTGGTGATTTCTGTTAATTATAAATGTACTATTAACCTTATTATTAACCCGTCAGATTATATAAGAATTTAAATTCTGCAGTGAACTGAAATCTAATTTGAGCGACTTATGTTTAAGCAGTATTTCACCCTTTGCTCCATTTTCTTTCTTCTTTTTTCTTCGGTCATCCTTTCCTTGTGTGTGGGTACAGTTGTTACAGATATGTGACCAATGCTGTGGATATGTGAAATCAAAGAGAGGTTTGAAAGTGCATACTGCAGCATTGAGTTATCTGTTTTTGATTGATACTTTCATATTGCGGCTCCAATAGACTGCATCTATCTACATACTCCTGGCTCCTAATTTCCCTGCTGGCCAGAGATGTTTCAGAAGAGATGGGAAACAGCCTGAAGAGCTGAGCATAAGTCAGCATTTGTAACCTATAGGACATGGCAGGTTGGTGCCATATCGGTCTCTGTGGGAATATGCTTCAAATGCATGATGTGGTTTGAAAGGCTCAGTCTTAACAAGGTATTTTCATCATAAAGTTGTAGAGATGAATATGGTTGCAAATCATAACTGCCTGTTTCTGCTCTGGATAATGGTTGTCTTACATTTTGTGTAGCCAGTCTCATTTTCATGTTTTAAAAATGCAAATTGTTCAACAAAAACCCCTTAAGATGAATTAAATAGCATACAATGAATCATATGTTTACACTAGTGCATTCCCCCCCCCCCCAGTGTTTCCAGCTACGTGTTTACAACCATACAGCCGTCATTTAGCACAAAGAGGAGACACTATGCATTCATAAGCACATTGTCATATTGAATGCAAAACACCCCATTCCTTTGCAAGCATTTGTATTCTCTCTCTGTCTCTGCTGTCAGCCTGAAGCTATTTGGACATGTTAATGCTATTTCAAGGTGTTTAGGAAATGTTCAGATTTGAGCATACTGAATTATATGCAGGTTATCTCATATGTTGCTGCAGTATTGGAAACGGTTATTTTGTATTAAGGAATATTTCTGTTAGGATACAAATATTTCAACATTTCTATAATACAGGCTGCTAAGAGAGTTTGGTTTGACACAAAGGTTATGCAATATTCTCTGTATTTATGATACAAGGTTAGTTGTCAGTTACTGTGAGAAAGAAAAGAAAAATCTGTAAAGATCGCGGATTTGTTCCTGCACAACAGTTCCCCTGTATGCAGGAGAGAGAGGCAGAGGTAAGAGTGATGGGGAGGGGAAGAGGGAGCATGAGGACAGGAGAAAGAGGGGGAGAGAGGAGGAGTTTTCCAAGGAGAGGGAAAGAGGAGGGATGTGGGAAAATAAGTGTTGCTGAGGGGTGGTGGCGCAGGGTGGAGGGGTGGGGTGCTAGTGGTAGTCGAGGAGGAAAACATGAGCGAGAGGTTGGAAAAAGACGAGTGAGTGGAGGAGCAGGAGGTAAGAGAGGGAGGGTGTATGAGTCAGCGAGAGGGTCCCCGCCCGACCACGAGTTCTCTTCCTGGGAGGCCTCTTCATCAGGGCTCCTATCTGATCACTTCCTTTTGGAAGTGTTTGTGTGTGTATGTGTGTGTGAGAGAGAGAGTAATTAAGCTTCTTCACCCGCTATACCTCTCTGCTTAGTGATTCCACACACAAAGCCATTTCATTATCTCTGTTTGTCAACCCCTTCTCTACCTGGACCTGGAGTGTTTTTCTGCGCGCGCGTGTGTGTGTGAGTTCCTGCTGGGACACGGGGGGTGCTCTCTCCTCGGGCATTCTTTAAAAAGAGGAATTTCTTTAAAGACAAAAAGGCAGGAGGGTTGGGTGAGGGGGTGGGGTGTGTGTGGCGGTGAGGTGGGGGGCTGCTTGCCCTTTGTCGGTAATCAGTTTGAAATGTTGAACAGTTTGCTGCTGCTGCCGCTGCTATTCTCCTGAAACCTCCAGAGTGTGTGTTCAATTTATGGAGCCCCTGTGTGAGTGTGTGTGTGTGTGTGTGTGTGCGTGTGTGTGTGTGGGGTTCTTACTTTCCACTCTTAACCACCAGGTTGTTGATGTCTGTACATGTGAACCATTGTAAGATGTTTTAGGTTTGAGTGTGTGCGTGTATGCAAAAGAGAGAGAGAGAGGGAGAGAGTGACTGAGTGTGTGTGTGTGTGTGTGTGTGTGTGTTTTGTGTAGCGAGGTTAAAGTGGGCCCCTAGTGAGATTAACCTCTGGTCCGTGTCACCGTTTGGCATGCAGGCCCCACCCATCTCTGCCTCCAGATAGCCAGTATCAGGCTTTGTCTCTCCTGCAGCAACTCTACCCCCCACCCCCCTCCAGCACCTCCTCCACCAAACCCACCCTTCTCTTCTGCACATCAAAAAACGCAAAAGAAGAAGAAAGACCAGTCATGTGACTTCCTTTTGAGGAGCTGGCCACATACAGCGGAGATGATTGGTAATTGGAAAGGTGGCGGAGTAGAAAGCAGAGTAGGGCTAAAAACAAGTCGCAGTTCACCTGAAATACAAAGAGAGCATCTGCAGAGTCTCGGGTATGTTTGCGCCTCCTGACATTTATTTAATTTCATCTGATTAAAAAAAGGTAAAAAGGTGGAAACGTTGGGCAATAAGTATGTCAAAGACAAAAAGGCTTATCTCTGCACTTCACATTTTTGGAAGTTTTGGCTTTTGTATTTCATTTAGAATGTATCTGTTATTTTTAACAGAAATGTTTGGTAACAAAGATAGTATAGTTGCAACTAACGATTATTTTCACTATAGGATAATCTGCAGTTTTTTCTTTAAAATGTCAAAAAACGCTCTATTTGAGCTCAAGGTGACATATTCAAAATGCTTTTTTATCCGTCCAAAAGCTATTCAGTTTGCTATTTTTATGTAAAAGAAAAACATTAAATCCTGGGAACTAAGGAACGTCTATGGCATTTTTACTTGAAAAATGACAGAAACAATTAATTGATTTAGTTGCAGATTAGTTTTCTGCAGCTTATCGATTGATTGACTAATCTTTTCTTCTCTTAAAGTTAAAGGAAAAACTAAAATTTAAAAGAATATATAGATATTTAAGAAATGTTGAGAGATTTCTTTTGTCTTAAACGTTTGAAATGCAGCAGTAATGGGTCTAAATCGTCTGCAGACAATTCTATTTGAAAAGGCAGAGAAAGAGATAAAAACATGGTTGTCAGTAGGCATAAGACTCAGATGATAAGAAAATAATGTTTAGAAATCCGATCTACCACTTTTTGTAACAAATAGATACACAGTCTTACTTTAGATACACTACTTTTGCTCAAATTTTGCTCATCAATCTCTTAATATCAATGTCATAAGCAAGCAAATCAGCTAACCATTATCCCACTTCAGTTATGTTTGACATTCATTATGCAAAATATACAGATGTGAAAAACAACTGTAGCTGCTGGCTTTTACCTTTGCAAATGTAGTCACCTGCAGCAAAATCAATTAGATAATGATTTTAATTTAACCCGTATGCAATAAAAATATTTCTTTTATTTAAAGACAAATGCAGTTAATATTTTTTATAATAATAAGTTTGTGTCCATTGAGGTGAAAGTTTATTGTTTAGTATCAGCAATATTACAAATATTTTTAAAAAATTCAGCTACTTTTATTTCTCAACTGGTTTATATATATATATAATAACTATTTACCATTAATAATTTCTA